CGACACGCAAACATGCAGACAGGAATGAGTGGGCAGGACAACCGGATCCCCGGATACAAGATGTGTGTGCTTGTGTGTAAATGCATATGTTTACATAATATATAAGAATATGTGAGTGTACAGGTATTCTGCTGCTCCGGCATCTCTGGACAGTTCTCTGGTGGAGCCACAGAGACACCCAGGAGCCCACTAATGAGCAGGAACCAGCCCCCCGAGGCCAAGAGACACCCCAACATCCAAACTGTGGGGCCGCAGCTCCCACAGGAGTCAGGTCTGCAGCACCACAGAGGAAAGACCTTTTGCTGCTTGGTGTTTATCCGTCACAGCACATAGACAATCACAACGACAGACGGGGGGGGGGATGACAGATCCGTCTGGGTTCACCTGTCAGCCATCCGGATGTTTTCGGTTGTTTGTTTTTGTCCCTCTGTATGGCTTGAGGGAAGACGGTGGTGGGTGCACAAACAGACGCACAAGTTGTAGCAGAAATGGTCGAATCTCTAAAAGGAAGTTTGTAACAATATCCTTATATATATTTAATTTGCCCTAGAGATAAATATGCTAGATATCAACAATAATCTAACAACATTTGGACTGTTTGAGGTTTTTTTCTTTTTCTCTGGTGTCTGCTTTTAGCCGTATCTAATAAAACACACAAGTTACCTCACTTCCCTTCTGGTTAACAAATAGCTCAACTGCTGGTTCTAAAAAATCTAAAGAAAAACAAATACAACAATGTAAAATGTTAAGTAGTATGTCTCTCGGACTTGGACACCTCCATTACCCCACAATTAACAGTATATGAGATACATCAGCGTTGTGCCACTGTGATCTGGCAGGGTGCTGGCTGGAGCGAGCAGGGTGCTAATTTTCCCAGCGTTAAGAGTTGTAATTATGCAGACGCTGCAGGGCGCCCACAAGGCGCGAACAGCCTCCCGTTCCAGGCGACAGTCCCAACCTTTTACGAGCTCCTCAACTGGTTCAGAGGCTAATGAAACTGTATGATTCACCCGGATCCGCACGCCCCTCTCCAACTGCCGCTCGGGATCACGGTGTCATTATTTTTGAAGAGGCCCCGTGACGGCCATTGTGCCGGGTGGAGCACAATTGTGCGCAGCCTTTCTGGAGAGCAGGAACAGAGGGACGGAGAGGAGCACTTGACGTCCTTGCTGGACTTGTCCTCTATACCTCTCTTTTTGTCTCCTGCAGCACAGAGCCAGATAACACAGAGACGGGCTCAGATCGTCATGGGGAACTAACAGGGAATATTCAACAACAATCAGAATCATGCAAAAACAATCTGGCTTTAAAACAACACGTTCCAATACGCTACATGGCGCAAAGTACACGAACACTGGGCCGTTAGAAGCGAGTCCAGGGGGACTGTTTAGTGGGCACGTTAATATGGTTTCTAGTTCCGCTAGTCCACCTCGGGGACATTCTTCCAAAACCAAAACCATGGGGCTTCATTTGCTGCCACAACAGCCTCCGGTCTACTTCCCACAAGATGTTGGACGTTGTCTGCGGGGATTCTGCTCCCATTCAGCCACAAGAGCCTCAATGAGGCCCAACACTAATGTTGGCTCACAAGGCCTGGCTCGCATTTGGCCAGCCCAAATCCTCCCAGAGGTGTCTGGTGGGTGGTGGGGTTGAAGTGTCTTTATGCATAGAGTGCATGAACAGCGGGTGAATGGAAAAAAAAATAAAACGACCCTGAAGGACAGACACGGTGCAGGACGTGTGACAGAGTGGAGTCTGAATTACTGCCTCGCAATAAATTAATAGCACAGAGTCTACACTCTGAGACAGAGAGAGAAGCGATGGGATGAGTGCTGAATAATGACGCACGGGGAAGAAGCAGTAATCTCTGACTAACACACTGATCCCAGCAGGTTAGAGCAAGGACACGGGAGAAGAGTGAAGATTGCACGCTGGAGCTGAGGAAGTCATGGATGAAAAGTTTTGCCGTAATATATGAACACAGATAAGCAACCGTCACCCTCTGTCAGTGCATCCTGTAAACCTCATTTTGACTCAACACCTCTGCTAATATAACATCTCGGCGGCATGCTACAAGTAGATCAACACGCGCGCACGCGCACACTGGTAACTCGCGAAGGCGGAGGCACGGCAGATCTCTGAGGATGTACGCTTTGAGAATAGCTGAGCCGCAAGAATCGCTGAGCACTTTCACTTGCAGCCGAAATACAGCCCAAGGAAAACGGGAAAGCCTTTGGTGTGAGGAGTCTCGTCTTCCCATCTCTGTTGCCTGGCTGTGCTGAGCTGAACTTGCGGAGCCACGTTACCAAGAAGGGTTGGAAATGAGTGCTTGTTAAAAAAAAAAAGCAGCATCTCTCTTTTTCTCTCCCGTCTCTCTGGGCTGGTGTTTGAAGGAGATAAGCTCTGTAAAGACTGTCTCTGTCTGCATGTCGACACAGAGTATACACCACAGTGACCGCGTCGTTCATCTCTCTTTATTGCTGCTTGTGTGTTTCTGTCCCAAACTTGTGATATAGATTCCTCTGGAAGAGAAGTCTGAGACTTTAAAACGCACACACCGTGGGACGTGTGTGTCTCCGTACGGTCCTGGACGGACCCCCCGACCCCCCGACCCCCTACCCTCCCCCGCTCTCAGCTGCAGCCCTGGCATCGCGCCACGTGTTTTGCGGCGCTAGCCGGCAGATTGATCCGGCTTTAATGAAGAGTCCTTCAGCCTAGGTGACATCCCATGCTTGTGGGCCACTGCAGGCCACTTGGCGCGGCTCCCTGATTCACTTCTGGGAAAATGGGTCATTCTGAGTGACAGACAGATAGTGGCCAGGGGAGCCGGCCAGCAGAGTAGACAGAGGGGGGCAGGGGGTGGGGGGATAGGATGCCAGGAGACAGCGCAGTGATGCCCTTCACACACCTGTGCCTGCATTCACAAAACATTTCATCTCTCAACCAAAAGTACTTCTGAGGAGCCCTGAACAGTTTTAAAAACTAAAAGCATAACATGGATTCTTTCCCTTCCCCAGCTCAAATGGGGATGGAGAACTCCTTCTCTGTGACCTCTGACCTCCGCGAGTGTGTAGATTGAATTATTTGGCTGTAAACATGAACATAAAAAGCCACAGACTGTTGTTCACAGTCACAAGTCGTTTCTAAATGTGTCGAAGGAAAGCAGCGAACAGCGCTGGTCAACTCAGGTCAGTCGAGGTGAAATAATGCAACCAGACAGTAAGACGCACTTTGCTTTATAGTGACCCAACGGGGCAAGCTCCACCCATGCGGTCCTCATAGCTGGATAAAAGAAACACTCAGATTTATTTGAGACTATAAATTGAACCAGATCTGATACAGACTGGGCTATAAAACTAACTTTATCACACCTCTGGTCCTCTTGCACGCTGCTGAAGGGAGGCAGAGAATAAGGGAAAGTCATGTGCTTCGGAAGAAAGCTGGACCTGAGGAGGCTGCGGAGCCACCTCATCCATCTAACTGTCAGCATCTCACCAGGCAAAAGTCCTCCTGTGTGTCCCTGACCCCCCTCCTCCATCCTTGCCCTGTGTCGCGCCCTATCCCTGCTCGCTTCCTTATACACACAAATATATGCAGACACAAACACACAGCCCTGCGGCATGGTAGCTAAACATTGTAATTTTAGCACAGCAGCTGTTTTTGCCTGCCATAAAAGCGACAACCCTCTAGCTCTTCTTCTGCACCCCCCCCCCCCCCCCCCATCCTCCTTCTCTCTATTCTCCCCTCCTTCCCTCCATCCACATCGCCTCAGCCAATCCCCAGCCAGCCTGCAGCTCAGAGTGCATGAGTCTACCTGGTGTATCTGTTGAAATGTGGAGATGATATGTGTGCATGCTGACATTGAACTTTGCATGAACCACTGTGTGTCGCTATGCGTTGCAGACGATGCAATATAGTTGCAGAATGAATTAAAAAGCTATTACAAAATGATGGCTTCAGTGAGGTGCCTCTAAATTGAATCTCTAGTCTTATTTTAGAGAGCAAATTTTAATTGAGATTAATGTAATTTTTTTAACACAATTTCGAATCGCCCAAAATTAAATGGTTTCATCATCAAACTATCCACCCTCACAGTGTGGCACTCCCAGCTTAAGCAAGTGGGCGGGGTCTCTCTGTTTTCTTTCGACCAATAGCTTGATAGCCACAGAGTTTCCATGGCAACCGCATGACTCCCGAATCCTGACCCCCCCCCCCCTCACATCCACTTAACAATCCCCCAGATGCCTAATTGTTTCCCTAATGATGCCAGGCCTAATGGGACTGTTTATGATATTCACTTGATAGCGCTGGCCCAATAATTAGACTACACCTCACTTCATTAAACAGCAGGGAGGAGAGACGGCGCCGCGCTCTGGCGGCAGGTACAGTATGTGAACATATAGCACGGGTGAATTTTAAAGCACTGTCCCCGATGACGGGCACACACACACGCGCTCCCGGAGACATATTCAGAGAGCAGCTACGCACCCAAGAGAGGACTGTGTTCGAGAGGAATGGCACTTTACATTCACGGTGCTCATTTGCCTGCAACGACTCAAGGACATTTCTTCCATAGTAGTTCCTACCTGTACTTCTTATCATTACCTCCACTGTACATGGTTCAGTGGCATATTGCTGTGCTGGAAAAGAGCTTCAATCAATACCCCACAGTTTTCTGAATGAGAATCTGAACTCATCGCTGGTTACACCCTGCAGATCAGCTCCCTTGAATGCAAATATTGCAACATACATGCGTAAATGCTGACAACTGATTTGTTGGATTAGAATGAGGATATTTCTGTTAATTCCGACAACTTCACAATGTGCTTGACCGAGCTTACAGTGGGTGCATACATGATGGAGCCTTTGTCTCTGTCCATGGTGCTGAAACATGTGAACTATGTATAAAAATAGGGAATGAGTGATGGAGCCTTTGTCTCTGTCCATGGTGCTGAAACAACAAACAGGTAAACAAACCAGAGGGGGTTCGTTGTTCATACCTTGAGGAAGGAGAGGTTGCGGTTCCGATCGATGCTGGTAATCTCCAAATTGCCCATGACGACCTCACAGTTCTCGTAGAGCTTCTTCAGGGTGCGGTACTGCTGCTCCAGGTCAGACAGAGTGCTCAGCTTGTTCTCCGTGCCGGGACAAACTGGAGACAAGAGACGGGAACGTTGTGTCATTTTAGAGGCAATTTGTCGTATATGCAGCGAGTGGGCATGGTAAATTATGATGACACATTCACAAAAAAGTTCAACCTCAACGGGCCGAGCCAAAGAACAGCAGATGTCCAGAATATGGAATTCAAATTCAAGTACTTGTGTTAAACGACATTACTTTTTCAGTAATAAAATGAATGGAAGGTACAACTCTTTTCCCCGGGGTTATTTTAACAGGAAAACTCTGACTCTTTGACGGCACTAACCAGTTCTTTGAGCTGGTCTTTTAACTAAAACACCAGCGTGTAGATGCATGGTTCAATGAGCCTCTGAAATATGGAAGAATCAGTGAGATAATGAATAAAGGATCAGAGAAGGAGGGCAGAGAAGACAGAAGAAGAGACATTCAGGCGGGATTTCCGGATTAAAACGAAGCATTGTGTGAAGACACAAACAGAGGGAAGGATTGAAGGACAGAGGGAATATTGGGGGAGAAAGAACGGGTCGGGAGATTACGTAAATTGCTAAAAAGAGTGCAGCCTTGACAATGAGGGAGCTGCCAGCATCGAGACTTTGGGGAGGGACAAGTGGGGTGAGAGGGGTGGATATCATTTCTCCGAGGCAGTGACCTACAGTCTGGGTCTAGCACCGGCACACCGTTTAATCAAAGATATTCAAATTGCATTGGTTGACCTTTACAGGGGGTTTCACTTGGAGACGTTACTCCGCTGCGAGATTACAAGACTTTGAAGATATTATGGTGAGTAGAAACAGCTCTATTGGTGTGCGGGAAGGCCGGGCAATTAGAAAGTAGAAGATTTCCCCCGCACACACAACAACAACCATGAAAACGGCGAAGTTAAAACATACAGACCCTGTAAATCATTTTGTTTGTCGGCAGCGCTAATGATAAATGCATGGCAACGGACGAATGCAGCGGCTACCACTGTAATTAGTTTGTCCCGTTCCCACCCATCAAGCACTCTTTCTGTCCCTGCCAGCCTTTGCACCAGTCAGTCAGTCAGTCAGCCTCCCCGGCCTCAGCCCTGCTACCATCTGCTCCATTCAGCTGGCACCATCACCGCGTTACCACGGGCACGACTGGAGGTTTGTGTGCGGTAGGCACCGGAATGGAGTTTTGGCTCCATGTAATTAAACCGCTCATTAAAGTTTGTCAGCGGCTCAACTTTGAACGGGTCTCACTTTTAAATCTGAATTCTATTTTTGCCGACGTCCAGCGGTTTGGTCTGTTAATGGCAGCGGGGGCATATTTTAATAATTGATTTGTTTTAAACACTTAATTCAAACGCATTTTTGCATTTTCTAAGAGTTTCCTCTTGTGGTTGTGCAAGTAACAACTGCTCAGAAATGCGACATTACAGCCTGGAGACTTGGGTTTGTACTTGAAACCAGAGAAGTAGCTTATTTTTAGTATTAGATTGAAGAAATGTACTCGGACTGTTCACTGCATACTGCATTCTGTTGTGGTCCTTCGGCTGTTCTTTATATCTTTCTCCATTCTACACCTCCAATGTCAAACTACTCCACTCTCAGGGCTCCGTGCACTTGTCTTTAGAGAGGACAGTGTACACAAAGCAGCTCGCGGCCACCGTCAATCATTTTAGACGCAAAGTCCAGCACATTTTAAGAACTAAAAGGATGTGAATAGGTAGTTGTTCCATCGCATTTGATTGGACCGCTACAAAGTTGCTAGAAGTTGCAGATTGGTTGATGGATGGATATCATGGTGGATATTGATTCATTGTAGGGCATTTTTCATTTCAGGCTTCTTAGGTGTGTATATTGTATCTTTTCATAAATAGTTATGGACATTTGCTTTTCTGCAGTAGCCTGACATGTCCTTAAAATAAACCTGCTGTACATTTAGATGTCAAAGCCTGTATCCCAGAACAAGAATTTCAGAAAGAGAGAACAGAAAGAGGAAAGAACTAACGGGCTATTGCATAGTTGAACTTGCCCCTATATGGAACAACATTGAGAGCTCATAAACTCCCATATTGCTTTATGGATCGTCGGCTCTGCAAAGACGAGTGCGCTTCCTCTCCTCTTGTGATCCTCCATATTGCTGTGGGTGCACGCTGGGTGCGACACAATGGCAGTGAGGGGACCTGAGCTATGGTGATAAATGAGATCTGCTGACCACACACAGATGACTTATTAGATGAAATGATTCGAGAGCGGCAACAAACTCAAAGGAAGGCTGCGCGGATCTAAAATTGGTCGGATCGATAAGCGTGTGTGTGTGTGTGTGTGTGTGTGCAAAGATGAAAGGTTAGCGGGGTCTGTAATAATCTGTTATTGAAACCTCCTCGCTGGTGTGTGTGTGTGTGTGTGTGTGTGTGTGACTTTATGTCTGTGTGCGGTGCTAAAAGATCAGAGGGGAGAGGTGAAAAGTGAGGGGGAAAACAACTCTCAAAAGCCAATATCAGCCGGCAGCACACACACACACACACACACACACACACACACACACACACACACACACAAACACACAGACAAAGACAGAAATGGCACTCCTTCAGGGTGAGTAAGCAAGGTAAAGCGAGGCAAGGGAAATAGAACTGAAAGAGAGGGAGGGAGAGACAGAGAGATAGAGAGAGAGAGAAACAATCTTGTATTTGTGAGAGTGGGAATGACGTCCAGGAGCATTAGCATTCATATCGACATGCTCTACTGTAAATGCTCTTTTCTCTGGGCTCATTTTGAAAGTGTCTGGATCCATCTGCTCTACCGCTCTCTCTCTCTTTTCCTAATTTCCTTTTCTCTGCCCTTAGCCATCTATTCCTCGGTCTCAGCCCTCCTTCCATTCTTCTCTCTCTGTCTGGCTCAGCGGAGGACAAAGTATTGAGCCGTTGCCTTTTTTCCCCCGTTAATGCATCGGGTGACACAGGGCCATGTCCACTTGACAGCGCCGGTGTGTGTGTGTGTGTGGGGGGGGGGGGGGGGGGGGGGGGGGGCAGCACACCTGAAGCTCAAAGAGAACCATTGGTCGATTTTTATTGCGGGTTAATGTGCGTAGGCAATATATGTAGTTCGTCACAAGTTTGATGTCATTAAGTTAGATCATTCCACATGAAAGAGTGAGCGAGGATTACAAGTATCAGAGTAAGAAAGGGAAGAAAGAGAGAAAGAAAGAAAGAAAGTGGTTTCAGAGAAATGCAATTGAATGCAACAGAGGGAAGAACATAGAAACAAAGCAGCCAACAAAAAACATAAGTCGTTCTTGGAAATTTTCAAGGCCTCAGCAGTCCAGCAGTGCAGACACCCAGACTCCAACGGCTCAACGCCCTCCCTACGGGGTCAGCTTCCTCGTGACATCCATGTCTTTATAACAAAGATAATGAGCAATAAGGAATGGAAAGACTTGAGTTGGCAGCCTCTATATAGGCAGTGATGATTGTTTTCCGGTCCACTTCAAAGACAAATGGAGTGTGTGCATTTTATGTCTTTGCCCGTGTGCGCCAGTCTACGTGTGTGCTGGCTCCATGAGGCTTGTGTGTGTGTGCACATGCATATGCATTGAATTCTAAGCTGTATAAACCAGTTTTGCTGCTGGTGTTGTCGCCTTTCTAGCTGAAACTGACTGCATTTAATCTCCCTAAATTGAATTACAACTTAATCCGGTCTCACTCCATTCTTCTTGGGAAAGAATGCAACAACGAGGGAGCAGCCTTGCAGAGCAGGTACGGAGCAGAGGGACGTGCCTGTGCCTATTCACGGTGGGTGTTTTGGCTGTAGAGCCTGTTTTTCTGATCCATCTGTGAAGTGAGAGACGAAGGCAGACAGTTACCTCCCCGCTTCTTCTCGCTGACATATTGAGCTGCGTTTTCTGTCTCGTTTCTCACGCCGTCTCTTCTCCCTCACATCCCGCACGCTTTCTTTGGCTTCTCATTCGCCGCTGCTCTCTTATCGTGTTTCTGTCCTCCTGTTTACAAACTCAGTCTCCATCCTTCCTCCTGTCTTGTCTTTCAACTTTTGATATTTTTTTTTCTTTTTTCCATTTGCATTAGCAGTAACTTCATACATAGATGCATCGTTTTCAATCAAAAGTCTGACCTCTTCCGTCTTTCTCCTTTCATTTCTGCTCAAGACTGTGATCTACAAGAAGTCGGCTGAGTGAGTGTTCGGCGTGGTAACTGCAGGGGTCAGCAAAACGACATGAGATCAGAAGTAAACTGGATGGTGGTGTGTTTCCAGCATTGACACACTGTCTTATCTGCCCTTTTGCTCAGTTTTTTTCCCCCGCTGGCAGGGCATCCTAGAGGGCACTTTGCTTATTATCTACTACAGACACACACACATTTGGTACTCTGTCAGTCACCTTTGCTTCATTGTTCGAATTCAGAATTATTAATTAGACTGCAAACGATGAGCCTTCGTTTAAATGCATTCAAATCACTCAGCAAACTACTGCAGAAGACAATCATGCACTTAAAACATATAGAATCTTGGATTTCATGGATTTACAGTACGTGACTGAAAACTCCTCCACTCTGAGCTGCAGATACATCCAATGGAAGCCACAATCCATCCCTTAATCACAACCCACACACACACACACACACACACACACACACACACACACACACACTCCCACACGCCTGGCTTCAAACAGCCGGGAGCCTGGATCCCATCAGTGGTGGATGGTTATTACTGGGCCTACCAGCCTTCATTTCGCTCATCACTCACTACTACCACCATCGTCATCATCATCATCATCATCATCATCACCATCACCATCATCTCCTCTGCTGCTCAGAAGTCACACACAGTCCTGAGGTGGGGCTGACGAGGCAGCCAGAGAGCTTATAGGCTCAGCTCTAACTTTAGCTCCCTGTATATGCAATTAAGTCTCATTCCAACCACTAAAAAAAAAATCACCTTCTCTTAGAAAATGACTCAAATTAAACTTACTTTTTTAAGCAGGTCGCCCTTGGTTAATAAAATGGCTTTTTTTTTTTTTCAGACAGTT